GTCAACTGATCAAGGACCATCAATACTGTGCACCACCAACCCAGTACACAGATTATGGCTGTTCTGATTTAGTGTAACTAAACCCACAACAGTAAAATCCGTCTTTATATGCAGTAAAGCATGCTTGATATACTCATTGTGGAATCTAAGGGGTTAATCCTCTGCATTGCGTAAAAACGCTGCTTGATCCTGACTTCTCAGATCCTCCCCTACTTTCAGTGCACCCCTCTTATCTCCAGATAATCCATGTGTGGAGACACTACACATGCTCAGTTTGGTGTGTACTGCTAGAGAGGTTTTTTGTTTCTTGGGAAAGTGCATGTGGTTAGCACAGGGCCAATCAGCACTGTCCAAACAGAGGTCAGGGGTTCTGCATCCTTTTACAGAAAACTCCTCCTACAAGCTTTAACCAGTGATCTACTGAACACTGATAGAAGTCACAAGACTGCTCTAACTGCTGATGAGAAAAGATATTTAGCAGTTTATATTTACTAAAATAATTGCACTTATATGCTCTTGTGTACTGTGGAAACCAGATATAGTGAATGCAGGATCCCAGGTTTAGTATCGCTTTAACTGCAGCATGCTTGTGCAAGGTCAGTAACTTGGGAAATGATAAAAAAAAAAGTAATGCAGCTTGTATTTTTTTTTTTTAACTCTCCAATGACAGCCAGCATATTATTCCAATCCAGTTTTCTTTTAAAGTGGTTGTAAAGGCTCAAGGTTTTTACCTTCATGCATTCTATGCATGAAGGTAAAAAACCTTTGAGCAGCATCCCCCTCCTGACCCCCAATACTCACCTAAGCCCCCTCTTGATCCAGTGATGTGCACTTGGCTATCCCAGGATTCCCTCTCCTCATTAGCTGAGACAGCAGCGGCAGCCATTGTTTCCCACTGCTGTCATTCACAGCCAGTGAGCCAATGAGAAGAGAGGGGGACGGGCCCAAGATGTGTCTCTGTGAGTGAATAAACATACAGAGCAGTGGCTGGGGAGTGCTCATGTTCGGGTGCCCCCATAGCAAGATGCTTGCTGTGGGGGCACCAGACAGGAGGGAGGGGCCAGAAGTGTTGGCAGGGGACCTGAGAAGAGCAGGATCCTGGATGCTCTGTACAAAACCACTGCACAAAGCATGTAAGTATAGGCATGTTATTTGAAAACAAACAAATAACTTTAGAATAACTTTAAACCTTTTACCCATATATAAAATGTAGGGGATAAGTCATGAATACTAAATCAGCAGAGTATTTTTCATCCTATTGCATGAAGAGAAAAAATGGAGGCTACCATTTTTACATCTGATATTGCTATTTGCTTAGCTGCCCTAAAACTGATGCTCTTGCTTATACTGTCTGTGTCCCTGACCTGGAACAAGCAGGTAGAGAAAATCAGAGGAAAGTGAAGAGTCATTATCTTCATAGTTGATTTGGGTGGGTTGGTGACTCAAACATGTGAAGAGTGTCGGCATGACTGTCTCCATTTTTTTTTCTTATGACAGATTTCCTTTAGTATTAGAAAATCATAAAAAAATAACAACCTGTCTGTTCAAAACAGTTTAGATAGAAAAATAGTAGAAAAATTTTGAAAGTGGGTCGCAAGCGTGTGACTCTATATGGCAACCAAACTCTGACAGAGCTCCACAGCTCCTAGAGTGAAAGTGGCAGAACCACAGCAACCTGGGGAGTACACAGCTTCCCGCTCTCTGCTATGGTCCTGATACATTCCAGGGGCAAAACAAAGCCAAAAACGGGAATTCCTGGTCTTTGTCTTGTCCAAGATGGCGGCTAAACTCTACAAAGCACAGCACCTACACTCTGGTTGCAGATTGCATAGACTGTGGAGAGGAAGAGACCAATCTTGTCCTGCCTATCAGCAGCATGCCAGTAGCCCTCAACTCTGGTGTCTTCCCTGTGAACTTGCTGGCTCACTTCTAAACCATGCTCCTCAGGGCTTTAAAAGCCACCTCCACCAAGATTATGGAGTGCCTCTTTACAGAAATTGGGGAGATTGTTCAATGCACAGAAGACCTAGAAGCCAGAACAGATACATTGGAGGACACCGTGCAGAGGTGCAAACAGGGTCTACAGTTAATAAGAATGCCACTCTTCTCTCCTGTTTGGAGGACTTTGAGAATCGGTCTTGGCAATCCAATCTTTGAATCCGTGGCTGCCTAGAATCGGTCCAGGATCTGCAATCTACAGTCACGGCCCTTTTCCAGGAGCTATCCCAGCCATCCCTATTGAGCAGCTGGAAATAGATTGCGTTCGTCGTGCCCTCATGCACCGCCAACACGGTGGACCTCCCTGGGACATCGTTGTGAAATTGCATTATTTCAGATCCTAGTAACAACTCACTAGCAAGCAGCACCTAATAAATCTGAGTTGGCCTTACAAGGCCAATCATACCTGGTTTTCACAGACCTTGTGTTGCTCACTATCACTTAATGGAGAGCAATGAAGCCCCATCTTAAGATACTTACCATTCACCACATCAAATAACTCTGAGGTTTTCCCTTTTGCCCTGCACATCAGCTACTAGGGTGCCCAATATACCTGCAGGTCTCCACCAGAATTGCAATGCATCTTACTTGAGTTGTCACTGACACCAGCCTCAAATCCTGCAGTGATTGCAGACATGGTACCTTTTCCAAAATGATCCTCCCAAAGGTCCCTCAACTCTGCTTCATCTTGGCTCTCCTACTTCCCTGCAAGGTTCTAAACCCCTGGTTTTCGCACCACGGAACTGTTGATCATTTATCTGGGCATATAAATTGCTCCCTGAAGTTTGCTGTGTGATTGTTTTAAATTATTATCCCTATTCCACCATTCATCTGCCTCCATAAACACACAACTTTCTATGGCCTTTTGACCTCTCTGCAGCTAACACTGTAGACCTCTTTTTACTACTTTGTTAGTGTCAGGGCACAGTGCAAATGTGAACCAAACCAGGCTTCAGATAGAATAAGACAATTTATTAAAGACTAACAATACATAAACGCAGAGCAATACTAAAACATAACACAGTGCAAACGAACCAAACCACCCACAGGGTAACAATAACAATGCAAGTGTCGTCAGGCAGGCCGGGTCAATAACAATCGGGCAGGTAGGAACAGGAGGAGCAGGCAGAGAGTAGTCAGGTCACGAGCCGGGTACAGCAACTAATGGGCAGGTAGGTACAGGGGGTCAGGCAGAGAATGGTCGGGGTCACAAGCCAGGGATCAACCAGGAGAAGTCAGCAGAGGTCCGGATCAGGCAGGGTCAGCAACGAATCAGTCAGACAGGAACAGGGATGCAGGTAACAAGATACAGGGGCCCAGGAAAAACACACACCAAGGCCCAGACTGCAGGTCTGGCCATCCCTTAAATACACCTGCATAATCAGCTTCAGGTGTTTGGCTGGCTGCAGGGTTGAGTCTCTGATTGCTGGGAGCACCCGCTGGCCAGCCCTGGTACTGCAGCCCACAAGGCAGGTGAGTCCCACCATTACTGGCAAGTCCATTCCTGACAGTACCCCCCCCTCAAGGAGCGGCCTCAGGACGCTCCAAACAGTCCTAGCTGGGCAAAATGTTCCACCGCCCGGGTCTGGTAACTGGCGGGATATCAAACACTGGCACATCGGGCAGGACTCCGGGCAGCGGCACATCGGGCTGGACTCTGGGCAGCGGCACACCGGGCAGGACTCCGGGCAGCGGCACACCGGGCAGGACTCCGGGCAGCGGCACACCGGGCAGGACTCCGGGCAGCGGCACACCGGGCAGGACTCCGGGCAGCGGCACACCGGGCAGGACTCCGGGCAGCGGCACACCGGGCAGGACTCCGGGCAGCGGCACATCGGGCTGGACTCTGGGCAGCGGCACACCGGGCAGGACTCCGGGCAGCGGCACACCGGGCAGGACTCCGGGCAGCGGCACACCGGGCAGGACTCCGGGCAGCGGCACACCGGGCAGGACTCCGGGCAGCGGCACACCGGGCAGGACTCCGGGCAGCGGCACACCGGCAGGACTCCGGGCAGAGGCACATCGAGCTGGACTCCGGGCAGAGGCACATCGAGCTGGACTCCGGGCAGAGGCACATCGGGCTGGACTCCGGGCAGAGGCACATCGGGCTGGACTCCGGGCAGAGGCACATCGGGCTGGACACCGGATCACCAGGCGGAGCAGCAGGCACCGGGCCACCAGGCGGAGCAGCAGGCACCAGGCCACCAGGCGGAGCAGCAGGCACCGGGCCACCAGGCAGAGCGGCGGGTGCCGGGCTCCCCGACGGAGCGGCAGGCGCCGGGCCACCAGGCGGAGCGAGGGGCGCCGGGCCACCAGGCGGAGCGAGGGGCGCCGGGCCCCCAGGAGGAGCGGCAGGCATCAGGCACCTGGGCGGAGCGACAGGCATCGGGCCCCCAGGCGGGGCGGCGGGCACCGGGCCCCCAGGCGGGGCGGTGGGCACCGGGTCATCAGGCACGACAACGGGCATCGGGTCACTTGGCTCGCCAGCGGGCACCACGTCATCTGGCAAGGCAGTGGGCACCGAGTCACCAGGCACGACAGTGGGTTCCGAGTCAACTGGCATGACCACGGGCACTGGGTCAGACATTGGATCGTCTGGCTCTACAGCGGGCATCGGGTCACCAGGCATCAGGTCATTTGGCTCGACAGCGGGCACCGCGTCATCTGGCAAGGCAGTGGGCATCGAGTCACCAGGCACGACAGTGGGCTCTGAGTCAATTGGCACGACAGCGGGCACCGGGTTATCAGGTACCGGATCGCCTGGATTGACAGCGGGCACCAGGTCATCTGGCGTTGGATCAACTGGCTCGACAGCGGGCATCGGGTCACCAGGCATGACAGCGGGCACTGGGTCACCAGGCATCAGGTCATTTGGCTCGCCAGCGGGCACCGCGTCATCTGGCAAGGCAGTGGGCACCGAGTCACCAGGCACGACAGTGGGCTCCGAGTCACCAGGCATGACCGCGGGCACTGGGTCAGACATTGGATTGTCTGGCCCGACAGCGGGCATCGGGTCACCAGGCATGACAGTGGGCACTGGGTCATCAGGCATGGGATTGTCTGGCTCGACAGCGGGCATCGGGTCACCAGGTATGACAGCGGGCACTGGGTCACCAGGCATCAGGTCATTTGGCTTGCCAGCGGGCACCGCGTCATCTGGCAAGGCAGTGGGCACCGAGTCACCAGGCACGACATTGGGCTCCGAGTCAACTGGCATGACCGCGGGCACTGGGTCAGACATTGGATCGTCTGGCCCAACAGCGGGCATCGGGTCACCAGGCATGACAGCGGGCACTGGGTCATCAGGCATTGGATCGTCTGGCTCGACAGCGGGCAACGGGTCACCAGGCATGACAGCGGGCACTGGGTCATCAGGTACCGGATCGTCTGGATCGACAGCGGGCATCGAGTCAACTGGCCTAATGGAATCATCAGGCTGGATCAGTTCATCAGGCTGGGTAGAAACATCATGCTGGGTAGAGGCATCAGGCTGAATGGAGGCATCAGGCTGGGTAGTGGCATCAGGCTGGGTGGAGGCATCAGGCTGGGTGGAGGCATCAGGCTGAATGGAGGCATCAGGAGGGCATCAGGCTGGGTAGAGGCATCAGGCTGGGTAGAGGCATCAGGCTGAATTGTGGGCGCCGAGGCACCAGGCTGCACCACAGAAGGCAGGTTCTCAGATGGGAGGCTGACCGGTTTGGATACTGGCAGGATGGTATTGGTTGGAAAGAACTTTTGCCTTTTCCTGGTTTTAGTTACCGGAGCACTGTAAGTAAGCGCAGGTTTGTAAACGGATGGAGCAGCTGGAGACAGAGAAGAGCTGGAGGATGGAACAGAGGAGGGAACTGTTGCTACAGAGGGCTTCTTTACAGGGTTAAACGCAGGATAGGTGCAGCGAGTGGGAACAGGGTACTGACATGCGGTAGATAGCAGGGTATACTGGGCTGTAACTGGAGGTGCTGTTGGGAATGCAGGAATAGAGCTTTGAAGAAATAGATTAGAAGCAGGACTGGGTTTTTGCAAGCTGACTGAGGCTGGGTGCAACAAGTCTGACCATGTCTGCAGTATGGGTTGAACAAAGCTCCGCTTACACAAAGCCTGTCTGACCAAAGACTGCACTGCGTTTATACAATCCCTTAATACCTGTGATGAACATGCAGCATAATGCTCCAAGAAGCAATCCACATCATCCTCCAATAACCATACCAGGGACTCTACCTGGTCTGCACTAAATGGTGGCAAAAAGTCATTCCTGCTTTCAGGGGTACCAGATGAAGCCAACTCTACACAAACCTGAATCAAAGGTTGCACCTCAGAGAACTCTGTGCCCTGATCTACTAGAACATGAGCGATCCGTATACATTCTAGCAGTTGATCCCGGGTATACTCCCTCAGAGCCTGATAAGCATATTCTCTGTCATCAAAAACCAGCAGCAACAAATACACAACCTCATCAAGATCCATCCTTCCCAGCAACAAGCCAAGATGGCTTCCCTGTGCAGCCACTTCTGGTCAGGATTGGCCTTGGTGTAATGTCAGGGCTCCCGAGGTATGACCAGAGGTATGTGAACTGACGCAGGGAAACGCAGGCTTCAGATATGTTATAAACAATAAGACAATTTATTAAAGACTAACAATACAAACATAAACGCAGTGCAATATTAAAACATAACACAGTGCAAACGAACCAAACCAAACCACCCACAGATAACAATACATACAATGCAAGCGTCGTCAGGCAGGCCGGGTCAATAACAATCGGGCAGGTAGGAACAGGAGGAGCAGGCAGAGAGTAGTCAGGTGACGAGCCGGGTACAGCAACTAATGGGCAGGTAGGTACAGGGGGTCAGGCAGAGAATGGTCGGGGTCACAAGCCAGGGATCAACCAGGAGAAGTCAGCAGAGGTCCGGATCAGGCAGGGTCAGCAACGAATCAGTCAGACAGGGACAGGAACAGGGATGCAGGTAACAAGATACAGGGACCCAGGAAAAACACACACCAAGGCCCAGACTGCAGGTCTGGCCATCCCTTAAATACACCTGCATAATCAGCTTCAGGTGTTTGGCTGGCTGCAGGGTTGAGTCTCTGATTGCTGGGAGCACCCGCTGGCAAGCCCTGGTACTGCAGCCCACAAGGCAGGTGAGTCCCACCATAACTGGCAAGTCCATTCCTGACAGTTAGCCTGGTTACACTTGGCATTTTCAAGAAAAACTTATGGTCAATCTGTTATACTAGGACCTGGACCCTTCAGGGTCTGTCATACCAATAGATTTTCTATGTGATCTTTGTCCTGTTTCACACCATCTCAATCTTTTTGCTGGGGGTGCATGGTTGAGTGGGGATCCCCAGGTTATTAAGTCCTACATGGGCTGATGCCCTGTTTTCCCTTTTCTGGAGGTGTGCTTTCTGCTGCAGACAGCCCTCTGCTCTCGGGCTGCTTTTGGTGTCCTACTATTTTAAGATTTTGCCTGCATTGTTGCTACTGTATGTTTAAACTTTGCTGTCCAGGCTACTGGTTTTTATTGTTCCAATTATGGTTCTGCCTACCTCTGGGAGTAGTTGCTGCGTTCCCCCATTGATTCTCCTTCCGGGATGCCCTTTGTTAGGTTCCCCCTCTGTGAAAATAGGGATCAGGTGTTGACTCCAGTGCTACAGTGTAATGTACTTTTGCTTATTATTTTGCTTATATTACCCCTCTAATTTTCCCTCTCTTTCCATTACACCATCCCCAACTCAGGCCCTACCTGGGGATACTGTCTCATTTACTCCACTTCTTGTTTCCTTAGGCTTTGATCAGCTACTCAGCTAATATGGCTCCTTTAAGCATTCTATCTCCCAATGTTAAGGAGCTCAACTCTCCTTTATAAATGTATCCAGGTTTTTTGTAGCCATGAAGACGAGTGGTGTGTGTCTGTAGGAGACCCATTTCACCTCCTTCCTCTGTTTCCAACCATTTCAGTCCTTTTGTATCCTCAAGTATACCTAGCCTACACTCAGACAAAACACAGAGGTGTCTTATTTGCACTTCACCAAACAACCCCATTTATGCTGAACTCAGAAATAAAGGACTCTGAAAGGTGATATTTAATTTTGACTAGGCATCTAGAGAACATGGTGGTCATGCTGGTCTCTTATTGTGCTCCTAATTCCTTTCAGGTCTCTTTCTTCTCACACTTATTGCAAGTTGTTAATACCCATCTAACAGGTATGTTGTTTGTTAACCACTTGACCTCCAGAGGATTTACCCCCCTTAATGACCGGGCCTCTTTTTGCTACTTGGCGCTGCACTAATTCAACTGATAATTGCGCGGTCATGCAATGCTACACCCAAATGAAATTTACGTCCTTTTTTTCACACAAATTGAGATTTCTTTCGGTGGTATTTGATCACCTGTGCGCTTTTTATTTTTCACGCTATAAACAAAAAAAGGCCAAAAATTTTGAAGAAAAACATTATTTTTTTACTTTCAGCTATAAAAAATATATAGCAAACTCAAAGTTGGTTATAAATTTAGGCCAAAATGTATTCTGCTACATGTTTTTGGTAAAAAAAAAATCCCAATAAGTGTATATTGATTGCTTTGTGTGAAAGTTATAGCGTCTACAAACTATGGTATAGATACTGCAATTTACACCATTTTTTTGCTATACAGCGCTGCGCTAGTTTAACGGACAATTGCGCGGTCATGCAATACGGTACATAAATGAAATTTACATCCTTTTTTTCCCAAAAAATGAGCTTTCTTTCGGTGGTATTTGATCGCCTGTGTGGTTTTTATTTTTTGCACTATAAAAAAAAAGGCTGACAATTTTGAGGAAAAAAAACTATATTTTGGACTTTGTGCTATAAAACATGTCCAGTAAAAAAAAATTTAAAAATCAAATTTAGTCATAAATTTCTGCCAAAATGCATTCTGCAACATCTTTGCTAAAAAAAAAACCCCAATACGTGTAAATTAATTGGTTTACGTGAAAGTTATAGCGTTTACAAATGGCGGGAAAGATACTGGGATTTTTAGGTTTTTTTTATACTAATAATGGCGGCGATCAGCGACTTATGGCGGCGATCAGTGACTTATGGCGGCGATCAGCGACTTATGGTGGGACTGCGGCGGACATTCTGACATTGGGGGGTACTGACTTGGGGTCACTGACATCCCCAGTGACACCAATACAGTGATCAGTGCAAAAAAAAAAAAACACTGACACTGGGGAGGAAGGAGTTAACTTTATTTTTCAGGGAAGGGTTATCTGTGTGAGGGGGAGTGTTTTACTAGGGGCGGGGGTGTGTGCTGGATGGGGACAGGCTGATCGGGAGAGAGAAACTCTTCTGTCCCAATCAGCTTGTCCTCGAGCTGTCAGGGAAGTGACAGAAAGCACAGCTACTGCAGCTGTGCTCTCTGTCACTGATTGCGGCCGATCGCCGGGAGATAGCCGGTAAGGACTGTGGCAAACTTGCTCATCCTTGTTGGAGCGGAGTCCCCCTTCAACTCTCTTTTTCGTGTTCTGTCTGTTTATTTGAGGCATTCCTCAGCCTCATTCCTACCCTTCTTCCTTCCTGAGAGGCAAACGTTATCTCCTGGCAGATGGCGTGGAACAACCAGGAAGACATGAGAGTGGAGACAGGCCATCTACTAAAGTGTAACTTTTGTCACCCAAAACAGCATAAGTCCACACATTATCAAACTGACCAGAGTAAATGCACATTCCTCAGGTCAACTGTATGGTTCATATCATGGGATATGAAGCTGGTAGTTTAGTTTAGGGTTCCCCAATGACCACTCCCAAAACGTGTAGTCAGAGCCCACCCCCTCCCCTTGAGAGGGACTTTCAAGAGAGTTAGAGCTTGTCACACACACACACACACACACACACAGATCTCCCAGCAACATCGTAACAAAAGGAGATCAAGAAATCACCCTGCTCTCAACTTGGACTGCAAACCCAGGCATATGGGCAAGTAACTTAACCCTGTAATCTTCTTCCTAATTATCTCTTTGCTGTGTCTTTATATACATATATATATATATTTTTGTGACATCTCTTTGTAAATATTTTATCGTACCTGTTTTGACCCTGTTAGAAATAAATCTTTCTTTCTGAAAGTGTTAAACTGTTTCTAAGCGCTTACTTGCAATTCACGAATCCCTGCCTTTGAAGAGACGCTACTGTTTGTTATATCTCTGTATAGCAGGTCCGCGGGGCCGTGCTATATAGATCAATATTTCAATCATTATAGTGTATATTTGATAACGGGAGTTTCCCAGTCTCCGACAAAAGTGGTGGTGGCAGTAGAAGGGTTAGTTGCGTAATTAACCTGACCCAGTAACAAGCGCATTCAGGCTGCAGGCACAGATTGTAGACCATTATCTGGGCAATCGCTGTGTAGGGTGCAGCTGGGTGGGGCCTTGTTACACGCGTCACACCATCACGAGTTTGGTGAGAAGGTCTGGGGTCTGACGCCGTGGGCGTGACGTATTACTGTTAGTCGCGGTCGTGCGATTGTCGCCATGTTGGTGGCGGCGATCGTGGGTCCGTGACAAGGACCGCCTGTGACCCGGCGACTGACATCCGCGGCTGTGATGGCGGGACAGGTAGGGCGGCGGTGCACCTCGCGCGCGTCGTCCCCTGTTTACAAAACACACGTTTTA